CTAACCCTAACCCTAACCCTAACAAAGACTAGGTGGTAAGTGACCCGAGCTTTACTATTTCAGGCTACACGTGTACTCTGAGGAATCTGTACCATTGTTCGGACCACCATTGCCAACACCACCCTAACCCTAACCCTAACCCTAACAAAGACTAGGTGGTAAGAGTCCCGAGCTTTACTATTTCAGGCTACACGTGTACTCTGGGGAGTCTGTACCATTGTTCAGACCACCATTGCCAACACCACCCTAACCCTAACACTATCAAAGACTAGGTGGTAAGTGACCCGAGCTTTACTATTTCAGGCTACACGTGTTCTCTGAGGAATCTGTACCTTTGTTCGGACCACCATTGCCAACACCCCCCTAACCCTAACACTATCAAAGACTAGGTGGTTAGTGAACCGAGATTTAGTATTTCAGGATACACGAGTACTCTGAGGAATCTATACCATTGTTCGGACCACCATTGCCAACACCACCCAAACCCTAACACTATCACAGACTAGGTGGTTAGTGACCCGAGCTTTACTATTTCAGGCTACACGTGTTCTCTGAGGAATCTGTACCTTTGTTCGGACCACCATTGCCAACACCACCCTAATCCTAACCCTAACCCTAACCCTAACAAAGACACGGTGGTAATAGTCCCGAGCTTTACTATTTCAGGCTACACGTGTACTCTGAGGAATCTGTACCATTGTTTGGACCACCATTGCCAACACCACCAGTGTTTTATGACCATCAAGAGTTCAGGGATTTCCTTCTTGTCAAACGTAAGTAGATGTTTTATAATATTCAGATATATAACAAAAAAATAATTGTTATCGACTTAATAATCTACATACATGTATATTGTCTTTGGTGTTTACTCATTTACATGTGTATACTACCTTGCGTTTACTTTGATATTTGGCTGTTTGCCCGCTTACATGTGTATAATACCTTACGTTTACTTTGATATTTGGCTGTTTGCCCGCTTACATGTGTATAATACCTTGCCTTTACTTTGATATTTGGCTGTTTGCCCGTTTACATGTGTATAATACCTTGCGTTTACTTTGATATTTGACTGTTTGCCCGCTTACATGTGTATAATACCTTGCGTTTACTTTGATATTTGGCTGTTTGCCCGCTAACATGTGAATAATACCTTACCTTTACTTTGATATTTGACTGTTTGCCCGCTTACATGTGTATAATATCTTACCTTTACTTTGATATTTGGCTGTTTGCCCGCTTACATGCAGACAATTGTTCAGTGCTTCTTTACTTATGTGTAAACGATTGCATCGAGTTTACTAGCTTACATATAGATGCTCTAAGATGTTTTCTCACTAACATGTAGATATAACGTATTTATTTACAAACTTACAAGTAGAAGACACTTATTTATTACAAACTTACATGTAGAGGACAATTATTTATTACAAACTAACATGTAGAAGACACTTATTTATTACAAACTTTCATGTATAAGACACTTATTTATTACAAAT